ATTTCATCACTACGATCAAGACAATCATCATCCTGATCTAATTTATAAAATAGTAAATTGTCGTTTTTGTTTTCTATTTAAAAAAAAAGAAAAGAAAATTTACTTACCACAAACCCATGATGATGGTATACATCTTCCATTAGCACATCGAAATTGAGATGTTGTACAATTAGGTCGTGCTATAAAAATGAGGAAACAAAAATATCTATCAGTAAAAAAACATAAGGGTGTCCGACAATAACTGAATAAATTGTCAATTACATTTTTCATACTTTTTGTTTGATGTTGAAGACTGAAATTTTTATTACAAATATATATCGAATCAAGATTTTTAATTTTTCAAAGTTTCAGCTCTCTAGATAAAATTCGTGATGAAATGCATGGACAAGATTAACATACATGAATTGTCGTATTAGATTTTTTATAATATTTTTACTACGTAGTCAATCGCAATAGAATGGCTAAGGATTATTTTAACTATATAGGAGTGAGTTTATATCTAAAACCTTTTAGATCTAATAAAACAAATTTTATCTTAAATATTCACCAGTTACGAAAACAGTGGACAATTAAAGATCTTGCTTAGATGTATGTATATGTGATAAAAGTTCCAGTTTTCGACGTCAAGAAAAAACATCGTCGGCAATTTATCTTCACGAGAAAACTACCCGAACTGGTACCTACCGTTTGAGTTCATCTTGCGTTTACAAGCAGGTTTCGGTAAGACTAAGAAAATCTTAAAAGAGTTCATGTTCATGAACATCTGAAGCCGAATTATCGCTGTGCTACTGAACTTTCGATCCTGCTTCAGGTATTTCCCGGAAAATCCAATATTATTTTTTTCGACTGAAATTTTGAGGACATTCTATTAGTCATTCGACCTACTACTTATAGACGAAATTTCAAATCAAAATATCGTTATTTAATTTTTCTGTAAATAGTGAAAGTTGGATCGGAAACTCAGTAAAACGATCATAACTCGGCTTCAGATATCCTTGAACACGAATCCTTTTACGATTTTTCTAGTCTTATCCAGACTTCTTTGTAAACTCAAGATGAGCTCAAATGCCAGGTATCAATTCAAGTAGCTCCTTCATCAGTTATTATGGGACACCCTTTATTATGTATTTCTTGTTCTTCTTACTACAATTCACTTCATCGGATCCATCAAAACATTGTAAACGAAAATCACAACGTTGATAACTTGGTATACATCTACCATCGGATACACATCGAAATTGATATGTTGAACATGCTGTACTATCTAGAAAAAATAAATAGATTATGTCAATAAATATTTTCTTTTCATAAAAAAAAAAAACTACATACTGCAATTGAGTTCATCAGTTCGATCATCACAGTTATAATAACCATCACATTTTTGTGTTAATGGTAAACATCGTTGTATATCACATTGAAATTCAGTTGAATTATCACATTGACGATAATCTAGAAATTATACATATTTTTTTAATTAGAGAAGAAAAATATCAAAAACTTACTGCAAAATGCTCCTTCATCACTACCATCGTTACAATCTTTTACATGATTCTAAAAATAAAGTATCGAATAAATCTTATTTACTCTGAAACAGAAAAAGCCAAAAATAGACATACACATTTCATGGATGCATCTATACATTGTGAATCATTACATTGAAATTGTGTACTTGAACATCTTCTTGGTGCTAAACAATAAAAAAAGTAAAATGATCTTTTAATCAAATAAATACCAAACAAACAATAACATACGACAATTTTGTTCATCAGTATTATTTCCACAATCATTATCACCATCACATACCCATGAACGAGGTATACATCTATCACCGCAATCAAATTGTGAATCCGAACATCGTGGATAAACTATTAATTTTATGAACTTAAATCTTAAAAAAAAAATCTTTTATATTATTTTATACATACTACAATTTCGTTCATCAGATGCATCAGTACAATCATTAATTCGATTACAACGCCATGATAATGGTATACAGCGACCGCCTGTTTCACATCTCCATTCATTAATATCACAAGCATCTAATAGGAAAATAAAAATAAAATTTTATTCTTTATAGTTTATTGATTTATTTTTACCGGTTATTGAATATAGAAGTAAAAAATTAGAACAAAAGAGAAGAAGAAGTATCTTCAAATTCATTTGATGAATGATCTAAAATATTCATTCGAAGAAATTTACTTCTTATTTATTCGATTCTAGAATACAATCTAACAACGTTGAAAGTATATCTATATATAATACTACTGCTACCTTATCATGGCACAAAAACAAAAAGTAAAAGAAAAGAAGATGATCGACTTATATAGGCATATACACCCACACACTCGCATCTGATTTCAATTTTATTCAATGATAATAATCCTAACAGTGGTACAATTCGATTTGATAATCTTCATCATTTTGTTTTGATTCGCTTGAAAGAGAAGCATATACATTTTTTTAAAAATATGAAAGGAATTCGAGTAAATTGAGAAGGCACAACATTGTCAAATCATCGATTATTGAAACACTAGATAGAACAATCAATAAGGCTATTCTTTTGATTTTTGTTTTTCTCATAAAAGAAAAAAAAAGGATAACAATCATCATCTTCTTTTTTCTTCTTGTCTTATACAAACCTATATAAAAGATTGATGTTATAAATAAGCAGCAGATCGTACTTGTCTTCTTCATCTTAAATGATAAAACCAAAGTATCTTTATTCTCTCTTTCTCACTTTTCGCGCACTGTTTACATATGAAATTGAAAACAATCTTCTTATCCTGACATGTGAATGCTCCTCCTTTTCCTCCTTTTTGCTACTTTTCTTTCAAAACCCAACCGATACATCATCTAATTCAGTCAAAATTCGCGAACTGTATGATGAAGTTGTCTTTCTTCATACTTTCCAATTCTGATATAGTTTAAAATGCCCTCCAATCAATAACAGAATTCTACAGATTAGTATTGTTTGAACAGATCTAATGAAAAACACTATATACATCATAATTTTGTTACTGTAGGAGAATTTGGTATTATAGTATCCTAGCTTTTGCGAGTACTTCTTTTGCCATATCTGAATGTGGCGATGTAACATGTTTTTCTTTATTACTGTGAAGGCAAGGTAACTTTTAGGAAAGAAAGCTTTCTACGTAAGAGATAGACATTCTATGAGCGATTATAATCGAGAGTAGTATTATCACCGCAAAAAACGATTAATGAAAACAAAGTAGATTTACTGTACTTTCATGAATTTTTAGCAATTGGATGTTCTCCGAAAAAGCATCTATATGTATTGTGCAATATTCTATTCAATGAATACACAAAATCTGATTTCTGTAATTCTAATTCTAGTTGATTTTACTGTTGTATGCCAAACTCCTGATCATATTTCAATGACCTCTATGGTAGGATGCTAGCAGTGCACTCTAACAGGTATTTTGAATTTTGCTGAGAGAACATATGTATATTTGTATCATGAGACAATACTCAGGAACTGAAGCAATCAAAAAAATTGCTTTAAATGAGAGAATGAAAATAAAAGTCTACCTATTTCAATTTCATTGACTCACATGAACATTTTCATCCATTTCATTCCAAAATTTTGCTTTTCTAAGTTTGCAAATTCTGCTAACATCATTATATCCCAACTCTTGAACGAAGAATATATCATGCATAAAATTAAGTCTATTACAAGCAGCAGCAGCTGCGAAATTATATCAATCATAATTCATTATTTGTAATTCCACGTAAAAATTGATATAAATTTTAACAGCTTAATGAAGAAACGTTGCCCTTTTAACAGTGAAAACACGCTTGAAAATTTTTTGCAATATCATCAGTCACTTACATGAATTCCTTTCGAGGCGAAAAACATTCATGAATTACCGATGAAAACTACTTGTTGATGAATTTTCATTGTTCGAAAAGAAATATTTTTTGTAAATTGCTAAGCTTATGTGAACTTTTACGAAAAAAAGTTTAGTTGATTTGATTAATTTTGCAATTGAACACCACAGAATCATTGATAAACTGTACTCTGCAGATGCATATGCTCACTTGAACAGAGTCAAACAATAAGTTGATATTATTTGTTTCAGAATAAAATTTTGCCCTCTCCAACATGACTATCTAATTGATTGAACTACTTTCTCGACACATGCCACAGCTTTTTTTTTGAGGATAGTATGGAGAAATCCATGTATAATCTATTGTAACTTTTAGTGGGTTCCTCCTGTTATCGTGTTCAACTATACTAATGCATCTGATATCCTGAAATACATTTTTACGACAAAAAAATGATGTCCTCCTTTCTTCCTCCTTTTCTAAAGCCTATCCTCCCAAAAGTTTTTTCCAAAAATCCTCCTTTTCTTCAAATACTCGTTTACATGCCAGTTCTTATCTTATTTGACTCGATGGTGATTTGTGTTTGTACATTATTTGACTACATCTCTCCTTCTTCTCGTTTTTTTTTCAAGTGTCTGTATTTCTAACCGCCTAAATTTATAAAAAGAAAAAAGAATTTTTTTTAAAATTTTTGGTTAAAAAAACAAAATCGACGATGAGAAAAAATTATTTCATATGACGAAAATAATATTTTAAATAATGGTACGTAATGTTTGTATGAAGTAATTACTAACAATCAAATAGTTAATACTTAATGGCAAAAAATAGGCTGTTTGCATATTTTTATCGATTTGACCTTTTATCTCTTTGAGTATAAAGGTAACAAAAAAAAAAAAACATTAAAGATTCAATAACGAATAGAATGAGAAAGAAAAAAAATCAAAAACGAAGATCATTAACGATTGATAAAATGAGACAAAAATAAAAAGTTTGTTTCTCTTTCTCATTTCATATGCATAAAGATAATAATTCGAATTATTGAAACAATCAATTAATATCATGTCATTCTGACCGGGAGGTCGATGATTCAGTAGGCTGATCAGAAAATTTTTGCTAAAGTTGACTGGATGTCGGTTGGGGGAATGATTGCGTGATTCTTTTAGAATTGATGAACAACGAAGAACGATAGAAAGCTGAAGTTCTACTAGAGAAAGACGAATGCTTTTCAAGGTGGGAAAATCCGTCCATCTACATTCTGGTGTATCATTTTTTTTTCAAAATTATTATCGTATAACTTTATTAAATAATTTGTCATGATGATTCATATTTTAGTTTAACTATGGATTCATATTCAGTTAGTGAACAAACACGTCGTATTTTATCACCTTATAATCGACATTGTTATAAATTATTTAATTTAAATTTAAGAAATCATTTTAAAAAACTTAAAATAACATTAGATGAAATTAGGAATAATGTAAATACGAATTTGTATTCATTAAAAAATTTAAAAGAAATAAAAATTTATCGAAAAAAAATTTTTAAAATAAATCAAATTTTAACAAGATTACGTAATAAACGATTAATATTTAATAATAAAAATAATTCATTTTTTTTATATCTTCGTAATTTTATTTATATTCTTATGAAATATATAACACAAATTGAAATATGTAAGTCAA